GCCAACGACAATTACTGATTTACAGACTCCTGGTTTGGAATAGACAAACAGCAGCCAACGACAATTACTGATTTACAGACTCCTGGTTTGGAATAGACAAACAGCAGCCAACGACAATTACTGATTTACAGACTTCTGGTTTGGAATAGACGCACAGCAGCCAACGACAATTACTGTTTTACAGACTCCTGGTTTGGAATAGACAAACAGCAGCCAACGACAATTACTGATTTACAGACTCCTGGTTTGGGATAGACAAACAGCAGCCAACGACAATTACTGATTTACAGACTCCTGGTTTGGGATAGACAAATAGCAGCCAACGACAGTTACTGATTTACAGACTCCTGGTTTGGGATAGACAAATAACAGCCAACGACAATTACTGATTTAAAGACTCCTGGTTTGGAAACGACAAACAGCAGCCAACGACAATTATTGATTTACAGACTCCTGGTTTGGGATAGACAAACAGCAGCCAACGACAATTACTGATTTACAGACTCCTGGTTGGGGATAGACAAACAGCAGCCAACGACAATTACTGATTTACAGACTCCTGGTTTGGGATAGACAAACAGCAGCCAACGACAATTACTGATTTACAGACTCCTGGTTTGGGATAGACAAACAGCAGGCAACGACAATTACTGATTTACAGACTCCTGGTTTGGAATAGACAAACAGCAGCCAACGACAATTACTGATTTACAGACTCCTGGTTTGGAATAGACAAACAGCAGCCAACGACAATTACTGATTTACAGACTCCTGGTTTGGGATAGACAAATAGCAGCCAACGACAGTTACTGATTTACAGACTCCTGGTTTGGGATAGACAAATAACAGCCAACGACAATTACTGATTTAAAGACTCCTGGTTTGGAAAAGACAAACAGCAGCCAAAGACAATTATTGATTTACAGACTCCTGGTTTGGAATAGACAAACAGCAGCCAACGACAATTACTGATTTACAGACTCCTGGTTTGGAATAGACAAACAGCAGCCAACGACAATTACTGATTTACAGACTTCTGGTTTGGAATAGACGCACAGCAGCCAACGACAATTACTGTTTTACAGACTCCTGGTTTGGAATAGACAAACAGCAGCCAACGACAATTACTGATTTACAGACTCCTGGTTTGGGATAGACAAACAGCAGCCAACGACAATTACTGATTTACAGACTCCTGGTTTGGGATAGACAAATAGCAGCCAACGACAGTTACTGATTTACAGACTCCTGGTTTGGGATAGACAAATAACAGCCAACGACAATTACTGATTTAAAGACTCCTGGTTTGGAAACGACAAACAGCAGCCAACGACAATTATTGATTTACAGACTCCTGGTTTGGGATAGACAAACAGCAGCCAACGACAATTACTGATTTACAGACTCCTGGTTGGGGATAGACAAACAGCAGCCAACGACAATTATTGATTTACAGACTCCTGGTTTGGGATAGACAAACAGCAGCCAACGACAATTACTGATTTACAGACTCCTGGTTGGGGATAGACAAACAGCAGCCAACGACAATTACTGATTTACAGACTCCTGGTTTGGGATAGACAAACAGCAGGCAACGACAATTACTGATTTACAGACTCCTGGTTTGGAATAGACAAACAGCAGCCAACGACAATTACTGATTTACAGACTCCTGGTTTGGAATAGACAAACAGCAGCCAACGACAATTACTGATTTACAGACTCCTGGTTTGGGATAGACAAATAGCAGCCAACGACAGTTACTGATTTACAGACTCCTGGTTTGGGATAGACAAATAACAGCCAACGACAATTACTGATTTAAAGACTCCTGGTTTGGAAAAGACAAACAGCAGCCAAAGACAATTATTGATTTACAGACTCCTGGTTTGGGATAGACAAACAGCAGCCAACGACAATTACTGATTTACAGACTCCTGGTTGGGGATAGACAAACAGCAGCCAACGACAATTACTGATTTACAGACTCCTGGTTTGGGATAGACAAACAGCAGCCAACGACAATTACTGATTTACAGACTCCTGGTTTGGGATAGACAAACAGCAGGCAACGACAATTACTGATTTACAGACTCCTGGTTTGGAATAGACAAACAGCAGCCAACGACAATTACTGATTTACAGACTCCTGGTTTGGGATAGACAAATAGCAGCCAACGACAGTTACTGATTTACAGACTCCTGGTTTGGGATAGACAAATAACAGCCAACGACAATTACTGATTTAAAGACTCCTGGTTTGGAAAAGACAAACAGCAGCCAAAGACAATTATTGATTTACAGACTCCTGGTTTGGGATAGACAAACAGCAGCCAACGACAATTACTGATTTACAGACTCCTGGTTGGGGATAGACAAACAGCAGGCAACGACAATTACTGATTTACAGACTCCTGGTTTGGAATAGACAAACAGCAGCCAACGACAATTACTGATTTACAGACTCCTGGTTTGGAAAAGACAAACAGCAGCCAACGACAATTACTGATTTACAGACTCCTGGTTTGGAATAGACAAACAGCAGCCAACGACAATTACTGATTTACAGACTCCTGGTTTGGGATAGACAAATAGCAGCCAACGACAGTTACTGATTTACAGACTCCTGGTTTGGGATAGACAAATAACAGCCAACGACAATTACTGATTTAAAGACTCCTGGTTTGGAAAAGACAAACAGCAGCCAAAGACAATTATTGATTTACAGACTCCTGGTTTGGGATAGACAAACAGCAGCCAACGACAATTACTGATTTACAGACTCCTGGTTGGGGATAGACAAACAGCAGGCAACGACAATTACTGATTTACAGACTCCTGGTTTGGAATAGACAAACAGCAGCCAACGACAATTACTGATTTACAGACTCCTGGTTTGGAAAAGACAAACAGCAGCCAACGACAATTACTGATTTACAGACTCCTGGTTTGGAATAGACAAACAGCAGCCAACGACAATTACTGATTTACAGACTTCTGGTTTGGAATAGACGCACAGCAGCCAACGACAATTACTGATTTACAGACTCCTGGTTTGGAATAGACAAACAGCAGCCAACGACAATTACTGATTTACAGACTCCTGGTTTGGGATAGACAAACAGCAGCCAACGACAATTACTGATTTACAGACTCCTGGTTTGGGATAGACAAATAGCAGCCAACGACAGTTACTGATTTACAGACTCCTGGTTTGGGATAGACAAATAACAGCCAACGACAATTACTGATTTAAAGACTCCTGGTTTGGAAAAGACAAACAGCAGCCAAAGACAATTATTGATTTACAGACTCCTGGTTTGGGATAGACAAACAGCAGCCAACGACAATTACTGATTTACAGACTCCTGGTTGGGGATAGACAAACAGCAGCCAACGACAATTACTGATTTACAGACTCCTGGTTTGGGATAGACAAACAGCAGCCAACGACAATTACTGATTTACAGACTCCTGGTTTGGGATAGACAAACAGCAGGCAACGACAATTACTGATTTACAGACTCCTGGTTTGGAATAGACAAACAGCAGCCAACGACAATTACTGATTTACAGACTCCTGGTTTGGAATAGACAAACAGCAGCCAACGACAATTACTGATTTACAGACTCCTGGTTTGGAATATACAAATATAGCGGGGTTTAACATGTTTGCGAGCGTTCAAAGCGCCCCGACTAACATGGGAGGATGGGGCAGTGATGTAACAACACAACGCTAGAACCAACTGTAAAATAAATTGAAAAAGTCTTGGTTTATCAGATTACCATGTAGTATAAAAAATCAAAAACAACAATAGAAAAAATACCACAAAACTACCGATCTAAGAGCAATCACAGTAACCCAAAGCTTATTCAAGGCAATATTCAACTTTTAAAAAACATAAACAATATAGCGTTGATACTTCCTAGATTATATATTGTATGCATGAATTTATAAGATGAAAATATTATTCCTTTCAATTATGTCATGTACCTGTTAATTTATTTAATTACATACTGAATCATTTCTACATCTTAAAAGAGAGGCGAAGTTTAAACAAATGATTAATAGCCAGGATTGCAGTAAAGTTGATAAAGTCCTAACGACAAGCTATCAAGTACAATGAAGGGTCATATGTCATCACTAAATGTTTACGTGACATGAACATTAATATCTAAATAAATCAGATGTATTATTCGCCTTTTTAATTGTCGTGTTTATTTAGGACTTAAGGGATAATTTTTTTTTATATTATATATTGCATGAAAAAAAGAAATAAAACAATAATGTAAATGACCCTTGTTTTTTACATGTTTTAAGACGTTGAGAGGATTTTCTAAAATGTTAATTCGTAGAATGTAAAAGGAAATAGTTTGAACATAATATAATAATTATCAATATTATTATAAAAAAAATAATAACAATAATAAGAATAATAATAAGAATCACTAGTTTCATTATGATTCATAATATTAATAATCATTATCATAATGAAAATAATGATATTATACAGATAAATGTTGATTAAGTGTAAACTGTAAACTGTAAAACGAATATTCATCCAATGAAGGAGTACCTCATATGATGATTCATTAGAACTGAGGACAGGATACTCTGGACTATTTAATGTTTTAAATAATTGTGTATATATGTGTGAATTTCAGTTATATTATATACTTATTTTGTATTTGTCACAAACTAATTGTTTGAAGTTTATATGACAATAAACATTTTAATTTGAATTTGATGATTGATGTATAAATATATTTCACAATATCAAATTTAAAAAATAGGTAAAATAACAAATTACCGTCGCTGAAATGTTGTACTTCTTACAATAAAATATTAGCAGTACCTATGATTTTTATTTTTATTATTAAGATAATTTATTGTCATTATCATTATCATATTGTTGTCTTAAATCAGTTATTGGCTAAATCTTAAGATTTAATACACACGTGTCTGTGTGATTAGCTTAAGTTCAAGAATCAACACATACCTGACTGTGTGGTTTACTAGAAGGTCACCAACAGATAACGCTTGTAAAGCCAGTTTTAAAGCGCCGACACTGGACGAGGCGTTTAATCCATGATATGTATTTTTTGGTGCCATCCAAGCGATTCTGAATTCTCGACCATTTACATTCAACACACAAAGAACTAACAGTAATAATAGTAGAGAAATAGCTTTGTCTATAAAGATGAACATTGTGTTGTCTATTTAGTGAAGTGGTTAGACAAGGTAATCCACTTAGTCATCACTTTAAAATATATTTTGAAACATCACCTGCGATATATATCAAATAAATTAAATATTTTCCATTAGTCTATTACTTTCTATTACAAATAAATCGAGCAGCACTTTTTTCAAAAAGATAAACTTCCAAGAATACACTGACATCCATATTGTAAAAATTACAATATTGTTTCTGACGTCATCAGAAACACCAATGAAAAGTTGCCTAACAAACAATACTTGGATTTAATACATGCATCATTTAGACAGCTAGCTATTCTATTGTAAGTAAAAGACATGTTTACGGCAATAACTCATGACAGTTTGTATGTACTGACAATATCTTAGGTAAAATAAATATTAACAAAATTATGTAGAGGTGATGGTCTTTTTGCCACAGTATTTCCACACCTGTAATTGTATTTTATCTTTATCATTTGTTATATATATATATATATGTTCTCAATGTGAGCAAAAAAAGGTATTTAAAGAATGTATAAAAAGTTTAAAAAAAATATAAATCATGAAATGTAATAGTCTGTATATATAGCGTATACTATATTTCAAATAACGTTACACATTTGAAACACCCACAATAACATATAATACAATAATATTATAATAAATTCTAAGATGCAATATTTGTATTCAGTATATTGATTTAAACAGTAGCCAGTCATTGTTAATTGTTTTTTCCTAAATCTAATAAACTTATGGAGTTTGGAATATTTAAATGTACAAAACATTCATTAGTTTGATGGGTCATTTTTTTTGCCATGGTGTCAGTCCTTCTTCTTTTAACATGTTATCCGTCCTTCTTTTTTTAACATTGCACCCTTCCTTCTTGTGAGCCCTTGTATCCGTCCTCCTTGTTTGGCCATGTAACTCGTCCATCTTGTTTAGCCATGTTACCCGTCCTTCTCGTTTGGCCATGTAATCCGTCCTTCTTGTTTAGCCATGTTACCCGTCCTTCTTGTTTAGCCATGTTACCCGTCCTTCTCGTTCGGCCATGTTACCCGTCTTTCTCGTTTGTCCATGTTACCCGTCTTTCTTGTTTAGCAATGGTATCCGTCCTTCTTGTTTAGCCATGTTACCCGTCCTTCTTGTTTAGCCGTGTTACCCGTCCTTCTCGTTTGTCCATGTTACCCGTCTTTCTTGTTTAGCAATGGTATCCGTCCTTCTTGTTTGGCCATGTTACCCGTCCTTCTTGTTTAGCCATGTTATCCGTCCTTCTTGTTTAGTCATGTTATCCGTCCTTTTTGTTTAGCCGTGTCACCCGTCCTTCTTGTTTAGTCATGTCACCCGTCCTTCTTGTTTAGTCATGTTACCCGTCCTTCTTGTTTAGTCATGTTACCCGTCCTTCTTATTTAGCCATGTTATCCGTCCTTCTTGTTTAGCCATGTCATCCGTCCTTCTTGTTTAGCCATGTATGTTACCCGTCCTTCTTGTTTAGCCATGGTATCCGTCCTTCTTGTTTAGCCATGGTATCCGTCCTTCTTGTTAAGTCATGTTACCCGTCCTTCTTGTTTAGCCATGTTACCCGTCCTTCTTGTTTAGCCATGGTCTTCGTCCTTCTATAATAGCGATGTTATCAGTCCTTCTTGTTTAGCCATGGTATCCGTCCTTTTTGTTTAGCCATAGTATCCGTCCTTCTTGTTTAACCATGTTTTCCGTCCTTCTTTTTTGGCCATGGTATCCGTCCTTCTTGTTTAGTCATGGGTTCCATGGAACCTTCTTTTGTGGACATGTTACCCGTCCTTCTTGTTTAGCCATGGGTTCCATCCTTCTTGTTCGGCCATGTTACCCGTCCTTCATTTTTGGCCATGTTACCCGTCCTTCTTGTTTAGCCATGTTTCCCGTCCTTCTTGTTTAGACACGTAGCCGTCTTTTTTGTTTAGCCATGGGTTTCATCCTTCTTGTTTGGCCATGTTACCCGTCCTTCTTGTTTAGCCATGTTACCCGTCCTTCTTGTTTAGCCATATTACCCGTCTTTCTTGTTTATCCATGTATCTCGTCCTTCTTGTTTAGCCATGTTACCCGTCTTTCTTGTTTAGCCATGTTTCTCGTCCTTCTTGTTTAGCCATGGTATTTGTCCTTCTTGTTTGGCCATGTTACCCGTCCTTCTTGTTTAGCCATGTTTCCCGTCCTTCTTGTTTGGCCATGTAGCCGTCCTTCTTGTTTAACCATGTTTCCCGTCTTTCTTGTTTAGACATGTAGCCGTACTTTTTGTTTAGCTATGGGTTCCGTCCTTCTTGTTTAGCCATGTTACCCGTCCTTCTTGTTTAGCCATGTTACCCGTCTTTTTTGTTTAGCCATGTAACCCGTCCTTCTTGTTTATCCATGGGTTCCGTCCTTCTTGTTTAGCCATGTTATCCATCTTCTTGTTTAGCCATGTTATCCGTCCTTCTTGTTTATCCATGGTATTCGTCCTTCTTGTTTGGCCATGTTTCTCGTCCTTCTTGTTTAGGCATGTAGCCGTCCTTCTTGTTTAGGCATGGTATACGTCCTTCTTGTTTGGCCATATTTCCCGTCCTTCTTGATTAGCCATGTAGCCGTTCTTCTTGTTTGGCCATGTTTCCTGTCCTTCTTGTTTAGCCATGTAGCCGGCCTTCTTGTTTCGCCATGTTTCTCGTCCTTCTTGTTTAGCCATGAAGCCGTCTTTCTTGTTCAGCCATGTTTCCCGTCCTTCTTGTTTAGCCATGTTTCCCGTCCTTATTGTTTAGCCATGTTTCCCGTCATTCTTGTTTAGCCATGTTTCCCGTCCTTCTTGTTTAGCCATGTAGCCGTCCTTCTTGTTTTACCATGTTTCCCGTCCTTCTTGTTTAGCCATGAACCCGTCTTTCTTGTTTAGCCATGTTTCCCGTCCTTCTTGTTTAGCCATGTTTCCCGTCCTTATTGTTTAGCCATGTTTCCCGTCCTTCTTGATTAGCCATGTAGCCGTCCTTCTTGTTTAGTCATGTTTCCCGTCCTTCTTGTTTAGCTATGTAGCCGTCCTTCTTGTTTAGCCATGTTTCCCGTCCTTCTTGTTTAGCCATGTAGCCGTCCTTTTTGTTTAGCCATGTTATCCGTCCTTCTTGTTTAGCCATGTAGCCGTCCTTCTTGTTGAGCCATGTACCCGTCCTTCTTTGACCTCATGATTGTTCATTTTATTGTGTTGTCAAATACTAATTTATCTATTGATTTTTATGCATTATTATTACAATTTATTTTTAAAAATATTATTATTTTCATATTTATTTATCTTTTTATCTATCTTTCTGTTTGTAAACTTAGTGAGTATTGCTTTTACAATTTGGGCTATATTTTCTAACTTCCTGTAGTAGCGAGCACATTTCGACCATGCTTTCCAAATTATGTACCGTCTTTTATTTCCTTGCTCAAGTTTGAGGTCAGTATGTTAGTATCTGGACTGTTAGTAAAGGGTCAAGTCAAGTCAGCTATTATCATTACTTGGCGTCTGTCGTCTGTCGTCCGTTACCTTTTTTCTAAAGTATTCTCCTCTGAAACTACAGGGCCGATTGGACCAAACTTAGCCACAATCATCCTTTGGGTAACTAGTTTAAAACTTTTGTCCGACGACCCCGCCTGCCGAAAAATATGGCCGATATTGCTAAAAATAGAGTCAAGTAAAATGCAAGTTTTGTCTATTAAATTTGAAATCGCTATATAAAGCATTTTTCTCTGATGAGAAAGATAAATATGATAGATATGCTTACTGGATGTGTGATGAGATGATTAAAGCTGTAAACTTTCTCCTTTACAACATTTATGTACGTTTCGGCAATAACCCTAATGTTATCTTGATGATATTTTGTTTTGTTAAATAATCAAGAATTCTGTTAATATACTGCCGAAATTTACCCAAAGGAACTTACTTTAAATAAATCAAATATTAACAACAATAAGTGTCCTTTCCTAGATTCAGAGATACCCGTTTTACACGAGGAACTCTACACAAAACATTTACGACAAAAGGGACGATTTTTCTATTCCTATCGTTAATTTTCCTTAATTGGACGTTGATATTCCTTTGGCACCGTCTTATTGTGTTTATATACACCAATTCGTTCGCTTTGCCCGTGCCTATAGTGACATTATGGATTTCAATGAGCGTTATCTAAGTTTTACTGGTAAATTATTAAGTCAGGGATTTCGTTAACAAAAATTACTTAAAACCTTAACTAAATTCTTCCATAGATGCAAAGATTTGGTTTGGAAGATTGACTGTACCTGCATACAAATATGTCATGCTTACATGGGTTATTTGCCAAAAATTACCGGTTGAGACTCAGAGATAAACAAATTTCCAGAGCCGTTAGTCGAGGGAAATTTGTTTACCTCGAAACAGGTATTTTTGGCGAATGACAAAGTCGGACAACAATTGTGACTTCATCAGGTCAAACAACTAACCGTGTGACAAACTCGACTGACACAAAATCCTAGCACAAAATGTGATTTCAAGATGAAGAATAGCAATTAAAGCTTTAAAAAATGAACAATTACCTGCAATGTACGTGTCTATATACTGGGGTTCCTCTTGAAATTTCTGTTGGATATAAGTACTCAGACCTAATAGTAACTTCAGGATGAAGAACAACAATAAAAGTTGCATTCCTTTGTTTTGGTTTAATCAAAACCCTGTATATGATCAGTAGATTGCGTTATAACATATCGTATTGTCTCTTGTATATTTACTCCATAATATTTTGTTTTTTTCATACATGTATAAGTCGATCATGATTTTCTTTCCATGTTTTTTTAAGTAAATTCATGATGAAAAATGACAAAAAGTCTAGAGGTCTTCGGAATTAAAGTTATTTTTAGACATGGATTTTCCCATCTGTCGTGGTATTTGCTAGCAATACCCCGGCATATGGAATTCCCTCATGACAAATACACCGGCAGAGAAAAGAAAATCTCAATCTATAGAAAATAGGTGAAAACACCATTCCTCTCATCCAATCAAAATACAGCATTATTACATAAGGTGGAATTATAGATAAAATACTTCAAACAGAATAGCACATCCTGATTTATACGGTGATGTTGTTTACCGAGACCGGAAATTCAGATACGATCCGGGTAAACTTATCAATCCTTTCAATAAACTTATTCTAAAAGGTTA